AGGAAGGAAGGAAGGAAGGAAGGAAGGAAAGAAGGAAGGAAGGAAGAAGGAAGGAAGGAAGGGTCTCAGAATCAAACTCAGACCATCAGGCTTGTGTAGTCAGCACTTTTACCAGCTGAGCCATCTCAGCACCCTGAGGTCTTAGCTGAGTTTAATTGGCCATGCCGTTCCTACAGTGCTGCTTGGGTTTGTTTGTTTCCCCAACAGCATCCTGGTCTTCTGTTTTTAAGTTAAATATCAGGAAGGGCACCAGGAAGCCAAACAAGGGCTGAGCCATGGTTTTCATTCTGAGGTCCTTCTGAGAAGGTCAGTTTCAGACCGTTGGCCTGAGCTGGCTCTCACAGTCTGTTTCTGGCTCGGGTCCACGGCAGCCTTGGTGTGGGTGCAACATATCCACAGCTTGACACCTGTAACTTTAAGAGGTGAACTATTTGGCATATTTAGTGAGAATTTGGCACATTTTGTGTAGTGCCGGTCAAGTCTTTCAAGAACTGCTGGGATCCAAGGTGTGTCCATACTCTTGGAGGTCTTCTGAGTCCTTTTGGAACAGTGGAGGTGGGTGGCCAAACGTGATCTCAAAGCTCTCCCCTCCCCAGCCTTTTACTATTGTGCTTTTGTTGTTTGTTTGAGTCAGAGTCTCATTAGCCCACGGTGGGTTTGAATTCACTATATAACCAAAAATGTTCTTGTAGTCCTATTTTTCTGTACCCACCTCACTGATGCTTCCATTACAGGCATGTGCCAGTACATTTAGCCTCATCTCCTATTTAATTTATTTAGATTTGTTTTGAGACAGAGTCTCAGTATGCAGCCCTGGCTGGCCTAGAACTCGCTATAGAACCAGTAAAACAACTGGTCTACAGATCAGGCTGGACTCACTCACAGAGACTCTCTTGACTCTGTCTCTAGAGTGCTGGGATTAAAATTGTATGCCACTATGCCCTATCCCTCCCTTTTAAAACACAATTATTTTATTTTGTTCTCATATTAGAAGTTACTAGTGTGGAAAGGAGACATTTTATATGTTTATCTGTCATTTGTACCTCACTAGATCCCACCTGGACCCTCATTTCCTCCTGAAACCCTGATGGAGTTATCTTTTGGGTGACTCACACTTTGAGAGAAGATGGATGCTAAGAAAATAATTAGAGAGATGTGTTTGGGGGCAATGGCAGAAGGACAAAGAGTAAAAGAGGCCAAACGTGAGACAGACCACCTGATAGGAACCAGGCTTCAGCCAGCCATTGGGTCAGCTTGGCACAGAGCAAGTTTGGAGGGGAAGCTGGCCCAGCTGTTGATGGCCAGGGGAACATGTTTGACATCACACTTTGCAAGACCCTGTTGAGAAATCAGTACTGTATCCGGCATCCTTGTCTCTGGGAAGGTAACTTGTACAGAGTTGCTGGGAGAAGGGCCTGAGCTGAGGCCGTGATTGTGTCTCCATACCGCTGCCACCCTTCCACAGATGCTCTCCCTTGGGCCGCTGGAGTGGTCAGGGAGGTTTCCAATCTTCAAATGGCTGGAGCGAGCAGGAGTTGGTGGTGTTAGAGACTGGAGATTGCAATGAGAGAGGGCATAGGATACATCCCCAAAAGTGAAAGTGTCTCCTCACATACACTCTAAGAGGACATTTCTTGTCTGCTGCAAAGGAGATCCTTCAAGCCAGACTGCCACCATTGCCATCAGATCGTCTGTGCCCACTTGCTAAGATCATTACTGCTGTGTTTGTTGACTGTTGACCTTTCTTCCTAGAAGGAGTGGACGGGAGGGTCGTGGGTCCCCTCCTAATATGTTGTATGCAATTCTGCTTAATTGAAGACAGCCCCAGAGAAAGGCTAAAATATACAGACAGGGAAGGCCTAGGGGAGGAGGCTTCATCTACAGTCATAGGAGAATCTTCATCAACACTGGGTGTCAACCTTCCAGTGTGTCTGCTTTAGGATCATCTATGTTCCTGCCCATAACCCCTCACCCCTGCTGTGTAAGTAATGGACTCATAGGTTCCTCAGAGTGAATTTTGGTGGAATCTACCTCTGTTTGTCACTGAGACCCTAGAAGTAAGGGTAGAGATCGCTTATGTCTCCCTCAGGGAGGAATGTTGTGGGATATTTGTACATTGTGTGAAGATGTATTACTGTGATTCGTGTAGTAAAGAGATGAAAGGCCAATATCTAAGTAGAAGAAAAGATAGTTAGGATTTCTGGTAAGAGAGAGAACTCTAGGGGAACAAAAGGGAGATGCCAATAAGACGCTAAACAAAGTCGGACGTACAACATTGTGGAAAGATAACAAAACCATGTGGCAGAACGTAGATTAATATAAATGCACTAATGCAAGTTGTAAGAACTAGTTGAGAGCAAGCCTAAGCTAAGGTTGATTGCTCATAATTAATAAAAGGTTTCTATGTCATTATTTGTGAGCTGAAGATACAAAGGAAAGTCCGACTATGGAGGAATTTTAGCAACCGTAGTTCTTTCTCCATTGCTTTTGGTCTGTGAGTTTTAAGCTTGAGTCTAGATACCAGTAATGTAAAAATGTAATAAAATGACCATTTTATTTATTCATCTATTTATTTGTGTGTGTTTGTGTGTGTGTGCAGGTTGTATGGAACATGTGGAGGTCAGAAGACAACTTGAAGCAGTTAGTTCTCTCCTTCCACCATGTAGTCTCCAGGATCACTCTCAGGTCACCAGGTTGGAGGGTAAGTCCTTTTACTCACCGCGATGGGTGATTAGCCTGTGATGGTAATACTGTCACCTTTACAGGACCGGGGATCACTAGCAGACAGGCCTCTGAGCATGCTGCAAAGATTAGTTGATTGGGTTAACTGAGATGGGAAGACCCTACATAAAAGTTGGCAGTGCCATTCCCTGGGTTTGGATTCTGGACCTCACAGGAAGGAGGGAGCCAGCTGAGCAGGAGCATTCATCCCCCTTTTTTTTTTATCTGATTGCAGATACAGTGTGACCGACTCCTTCAAGTTCCTGCTGTCCTGATTTCCCCATCGCGGTGGACTGCACCATTAAACTTTAAGCTAAAACAAACATTTTCTCTTCTAGGTTGCTTTTCTTTGGGACATTTTGGCACCAGAAAAGTCATTAAAATAGCATTGAGATTGAGCACCACGAAAAAGAAGAGAAAAGACTCGTCATTTGTGTTTGCAGTCAATCTTTTTCGGGTATCCTGCCTCCCTGTCACAGGCAGACACCCATATATCTGCTGTTCCATAGATTTGCCTTCTCTCGACATTTTCTTTAAAAAAGAATCACACAGTATGTCCTCTTCTGTTCTAGAGTCTTTCATTTGGCATACCCTCCCCCAGCCCAGGCTGGCCTAAAACTCACTGTGTAGGTCAAGTTGGCATGAAACTCCCAAGTGTTAGGACTGGAAGGTATGAGCCCCCAGGATTAGTTGCATGTTGTCTTCAGTCTTATTCATAAGCCAGCACGTTCAAGGCATCCCACAGTGTGGATATACATACGTTCATAGCTTTTCTGGTCATGTCCCTAGAGCTGGATATTTTGGTTGGTTCCAAGCTTTGGCGTCTACACACAATGCCATGACAAACCCTCCCCATGGAAATTTTGTCAGCATGTCTGCTGGACAGATTTTTAGAAGTGTGATTCCTGGACTAGACAGCGTGTGTGTTAAAATAGAAATCGGTCATTAGCCAGGTGTGGAAGTACACACCTGCTGTCCCAGTGCTCAAGAGGCTGAGACAGAAGATTGCAAGTTCAAGACTGGCCTGGTTTACATAGCTAGACTGGAAGCTGTCTTGATTTGCTGAGTAAAGGAGCCCATCCTGCAGAGACTGGGAATGTCTGTGCAGAGGCATCATCAACTCAGAGGCAGACTGACTGGGATCAGGACAGAGATGTTAATGTAAGTACAGGAACACAGTTCGGAAGCCAGAAAAGCAGGCTCAGAGTAGGCAGATCTAAGCAGAGAAGGACGGGGACCTTAGACAGTCAAGGCTCAGAATGCAGCAAGGAAGAGAAGAATCAGCAGATCAAAGACAGCCCTGGATTTGCCCTTATCCTTGTGATGCTCTGACTGGTAAAGACTTTGTGCCAAGACTGCTCACACGAGGTGGGGGTGGGTCGGCAACATTCACACCAGTGCGATTCAATCTTGGCTTCTTTTGCACTGGGTTTTTGGTTCCTCCTGTTTTCTGTGCACACTGACATTCCCAGGCCTTGTTGGAGGAGCAGAGAGCACAGACCTAGAACAAAGGTGAGCCTGCACTTGGCCCCCTCTCTTTGACAGTCATCTTGAGGACTCGTCTGACCAGGCACTGCGCTCAGGCAGAACAACACCTGTCCCCTCTGGCAACGATATGTGTTCTTCAGCATTTCCATCCTGCTGAATCAGAGGCATAGCTGAGTCATGCTTGTTTCTTGTTCCTGATTCTGAGTTCAGCGCAGGGCCTGGCACTGGATGGGCATAGGGTAGGACCTGATGCTGGTTTATTATTGCCTGAACATTTTCGTGAATTATGAACACTGTCTGCTTTGGAGCTTTCTTATACCCTCCAACCTTGCTGAACTATAGGGTTCAATCTCTTTCCTGTGCCCATAATAGGCTGTTCAGAGACAGGGTCCCCTCTGACAAACCCTTCAGAGACAAACCCTGTTTGTTTGATGCGCTGCGTGTCCCAATCCCCCCAGCAAGTCTGTCAGTCACTGTATACTGAGGAAACAACGATTTTAGGGCTGGGGATACAGCTCAGTTGGTAATGTGTTTGTCAAGCATGTACCAAATCCTGGGTTCAAGCCCAGCACCATATAAACCAGGCACGGTGGTGCGCCTCTGTAATCCTAGAACTTGGGAGGATCCTTTGATCAAGTTCATGCCCAGTTATATAGGAAGTTTCAGGCCAATCTTGGGATATGTGAGACAGTCTAAAAATCTAACCCACCCAAGCTCACCCCTCCCAGCAAAGGAAACAAGAATGACTCAAATCCTTTGTCTCCTCCGATGTGTTACAAATCACTTCTCCACTCTGAACTAGTGCCTACTTGGCAACCTTAGATGAGGGTGGGTGTTGGAAAGGGGAGGGGCTGGGTAAAGAATTCTCAGTGAAATTTGCTGCTGGAGCTTCTGTGATCTCCTGGCCTCCCTGCTTCTCCAAGGAGATGAGCCAGTGACTTCCGACCCATGTCTTCTAAACCTGTTCCTGAGGCTTTTGAGGGCCTTTCCATCCAAGGACCTAGGAGCACTGGAGGAAGAATTTGGTGCCCTTTTCCCTCTGGTGATCCATGTTCAGCCAACGCAGGCTAGGTTGAGCACAAAAGCGCAGCCAGACAGGGACAGGTAGGGTTCTGTCTTCATCTTCTCACTCAGGGGAGAGTGAGATGGCTCAGCCAAGTAAGGACCCTTGCCACCAAGGCTGATGACCTGAGTTTGAGTCCCAGGAGCCATGTGATGGAGGGAGAATAGATTTGACAAATTGTCTTCTGACCTACACATGTGTGCTATCACACACACACACACAGAGAGAGAGAGAGAGAGAGAGAGAGAGAGAGACAGAGACAGAGACACAGAGAGAGAGAGACAGAAAGAGAGAGAGAGAGAGAGAGAGAGACAGAGAAAGACACAGAGAATGTAAAAAACAGTTAAAACAACACAAATTCCCACTCAGGTTTTTGCTCACTGTTGCCCAGCCTCTGCTTGGAAAGTCCTGAGATAAATACTCAACTCCAACTGATTTATATAGCTTCAAAAAGATATTTAATGATCACACTTTATAAGAAATTATAATGTACATAGTTCTGCATTGGTTCAGTGGGTTAAAGTAGACTTAGATTTTTTTGACAAACTGAGGTAAAACATAGATAACAAAAATTACCATTTTAGCCCCCCCCCCACTGGTTGAGGCCCTAGAGTTCTAGCCTGAGTTCTCAGAAATGTTAAGTAAGCACTCCACCAGTAAACAATACCTAGCCCTCATTTTAACTTTTTTTTTTTAATGCAATGGCAATGAACACTTTCACACTGCTGCACAGAAGTCAGGACTCGTCCATCATCCTAAACTAGAGCTGTGCCATCAAACACAAACGCCCCATCCTCTGTCATCCAGCCTCTAGCCATCACTATCTAATTATTCTTGGTACTTCTTAGTTGTGTAAACTTACAACATTTGTCTTTGGGGTCTTGTTATTCTGCATGGAAGCATGCTTTTAAGGCTCATTCATAGGCAATATGGGTCAGTTTCTTGTTCCTTTTCATTGTGGGATGGTCTCCTGCTGTGTGCATACACCATGTTTAACTTACCCATTTATTTGTGGGCTATCATTTTAGCTGTTTTGACTTTTGACTCTTTTGAATAATGCTGCTGTTATCATCAACCTACAAATGTCTGATCCCTTGCTTCCAATTCTTTTTGGTGTCTACTTAGAGGTGAACTTGATGAATTATGTAATAGTTCTATATTTAATGTCTTAAGGAAAGCGATATGCTGTGTCCCACTGTGCTGGGATACCGTTCAGGTCTACCAGTAAGGCGAAAACTTTCCCTTTCTCTACTTCCTTAATAACTCTTGCTATTTTCTCTCCTCCTTCTCTACCTCTTCCTTTTACTGGTAAGGACTCTGATGGGTAGGAGGAAGTATCTCACTCTAACTCTAATTTGTGCTTCTTAGAAAAGAGTATTTGGGGTCCAGTGTTAGGATGGACCAACTGCATCAGTAGGCATACAATATAGAAGGAGTGAACAGCCAGCGTAGGGGTTCTAAACTCTGCAGTGGGGGCTCTGGTAAGAATGTAGCCTCTGTCTCCCTGTAACTTTGAAATGTGTGTGGGTAATTCAATTCAGATACTACAGTCTGTGTACGTGAGCCATGCTGAAGGACAAGAAAGGACCCTGAAGGGCCACAGTGTAGGTGGACAGGCTTAGAGAGTAGTGGAGGTGTTCCCTGAAGAAGAGCCAACAAATGAAGGCCTGCCCTCCTTGGCTAAGAACTCCTTGCTGATAAGGCCGTGAGTAGCCATGATCTTGAGGAGCCCATAGCGGAACTTCTGGCCAATGAACGCATAGATGATGGGGTTAAGGCAGCTGTGCAGGAAGCCAAGAATTTCGGTAGCATTCAAGGCCCTGTCAATGTCATTGCGGCGCTCACAAGTCTCCTGGATCAGTTTGGTCCTCATGAGGGTGTCTGCGAACAGGACCAGGTTGTGGGGCAGCCAGCAGAGCAGAAAGACAAGCACAACGGCAAATATGACCCGCATGGCCCGGTGCTTCTGCCCCATGTGGGCCTTAAAGAGCGTGCGCAGTGTGGACCCGTAGCAGAACAGCATGACCAGCAGCGGCAGGAGGAAGCCGAAGGTCTGAGGCAGGAAGCGCAAGACTATCCTCCACTTGGTTGTGTTGTTACCTGCATCTTCATAGCAGACTAGGGTTAAAGAGTTTGCCTTAACGGTATTACGCAGAATTAAGATGGGCAGGGACACAAATATGGACAGTATCCACATGGTGATGCATACAAACTTGACCAAGTGTCTCTTCTGGATCAGTGTGCTTGTGGCATGAACGATGGCCAGGTAGCGGTCCATGCTGATACAGGCTAGTAACAGGACACTACTGTAGAAGGTGACTTCCTTCACGAATGAGAATATCTTGCACATGGCTCTGCCGAAAGTCCAGCCCTTTACCTTGGATGCAGCCCAGACAGGCAAGGTCAGAGCAAAGAGCAGGTCAGCAATGGCGAGGTTCAGCAGGTAGACGTCGGTGACGGAGCAGGAACTCCGGTTGTATAAGATGACCAGCATCACCAGGGAGTTTCCCACAAGGCTCAGCAGGGTTACCAGGACATATATTATAACCACGGCATATCTGTTGATTTCTAAGGTCTCTGGGTGGCATGGGGCAGCATCTGGTAGAATGGGGGGCAGGTCAGAGCTATAATTGTAATTATCAATTTCGCCACTGAAGAAATCTTCAATGTTGAAATTCTCCACATTGAATTCTTCCATTTTGAGGTAAACTTAATCCTGTCAATAGAGAAAATGATGGTTACTACATAGCAAAGTGACCTTGTTTCTTGTCTTTCCAACCAAGGAACTAGGATGTAAGGATTTGTTACATTGGCTTGCATAGAACAAGGAAGACATTTTCCCCTTCAAATTTTAAGTTGATAGCAGTAAGCGTTTGAGACAAAATAGTAGACATTTGGGGGGGGGGGGATAAAGATTACAGTTCCCTTCAAGACACTTTTTTTTCTTGAAGTAGGGTCTTGGTTGGCCTCAAACTTATTGTGTAGCCAAGAATGTACAAATGCATTATATACATGTGTGAAAATGTTATCATTAAGCTCACTGTTGTAAATAAATAAAATATACTAATAAAACATTAAATATAAAAAGGTTAATTGGAGAGCACTCAGTTTTACAAAATAAATCACA